CCAGGAGAGGTGACCTGTGCAGAGGGAGAGACACCATTTTTGGGTCACAGAATGAATTTGGTGGCTGATTCAAGGTGTGGGACTGAACTTGCACAAGAAGACAGCCTTGTTCTGACAAACAGGAAACACAAGGAGTCTTTATGTCTATGACCAACGTGTTCCTTTTTCTATTGATTTTTATTTAAATCTGCCCACTCTAGTTTGTGCAAAACTGCCTTGTAAAAAAACAAAAGTAGAGGTTGATACTGTCCTGGGAAAGTTTAGTTCTGAGTTATTTGTGTGGTTTTAACTGACGCCTTCATTAACAAGTGATTTTAAAAATACTCGTGTGTGTATGGGGGCGGGGAGCAGGGGGCAGTAGCTCAGTTGGTTAATGTTAGCTTAAGAGCGGAAGCTCTGCGCAACAGGGCCGCTGGCTTGATTCCCACATGGGCCAGTGATGCTGCGCCTGAGTTGAGCTGCCAACAGGTGGCAGGATGGCTCAGCTGGTGAGAGCCCATGCTCCTAACAAGACTGCCTGTTTGATGGTGGGCTATGCCCGCCCGTAACTAAGACTGAACTGGGCACCTTAAGCTGAGCTGCCACCCCAATGGCTCAGTGGATATAGCATGCGCTCTTAACAACAAGGCTGCTGGTTCGATTCCCTCATGGGATGGTGGATATGCCCACCCGCAACTAAGATTGGACACAGCACCTTGAACTTAAAGGCCACGAGCTGCCAATGGGCAGCCAGATGGCGATTGGCGCCCTCCACAACTAAGATTGAAGAACACAACTTGGCTGGTTCCCTTTCCCCAATTAAAAAAAAAAAAACTTGGAAGTCACTACCACATCCCTCTTCAGGAACGGAGGTTTAATAAACCCAACAAGCCCAAAAGATTAAGAAAAAAGGACCTCAGGATCTGTGTCTCATTTAAATCACCTGCTAGGAAATGTGGCATCCCAGCTCTGAGCCACCTGACTTGAAGGTAGGGCGGGTGGGGCTTGGGTCCTGCGGCTCCCCTCTGCCCCATGAACCTGCGGAACCTCCCTGCCCAAGTTAAGTCCTCAGTTATCTCGACAGCCTCAGGCCCCTTTCCCCGCTCCCAGACCCAGCCCTCCCCTGAGAAATGCCGGGGGAGTGGAGGCCGGTCTTCCGACCACCGGTGGAAACAGCGGCTTCTGGCCCGGCCCTCGCACAGCTGAGCGGGCACAGGGGACGCCCAGGGTGGAGGGCCGCCAGGTCACTGTCGCTGCTGAACAGCAGGGAAGGAAAAGATACAGGGGGTGGGGGAAGCCTTCTGAGGAGTCTCTAAGTGGGGCTCCAGAGAAAGTGCACCTGCAATCCGAATGACGTCGCGAGGCCTGCCAAGACCCAACTAGTGTGTTTGCGTGTTAGATTGAGGAAAGCCTTCTTTGTTGATTGCACTCAAACTCCCGCGCGTATTCGATAGGGAGATAGTTATGGGACTAGTTTGCCACTTTTACATAAAACCCAAAGCGACTTAAGTACCGTAGAGCCTGGTCTTCTTCCCTAAGGTGAGGCCTGAGCGAGGGCAGCCCCAGGACGACCCAGTGAGTCATCTCCTGTCCCGTTTCCCACCTGCTCTTTCCTGTGTCCCCTTGGTTTTTTCCTTCTGTTATCCCCTTCACCGCCCCCCTCCCCAACCCAGTGGCAACGACCCCAATGGGCTCCATTTATGTTTGAAATGTTCTTGCAACCATTAACTGTCCCGTGTTAATGCATTTTAAATTTAGGTAAGTAGTGAGGTGTTTTATGCTTTACTTTCTCAGCACGGTGCCCTCAGTCCCACCCGTGTTGCTGTGTCCAGCATCCCCTATTTGACTTCCCACTTCCCCCAAAGAGGGAGCCCGCACCCCTCTGCCTGATTCCACCACAGTGCATATACCTCTGTGTGTGTGGGCTTGGGAGTGGGGTCGCTGGGCCGAGTCATTAAGCCCCAAATCGGATGACATGTGGCAGATGGTGCTGCAGAAACCAGCAGCAGTGCAGGACCAGGCCAGGGGTGGGCAACTCTCTCATCTCATGGGATCCAGCAGAGTCATTACTTGTGGGTGTGTGATTTCCCACAAAAACCTAGTACTTTTGACCCTTTCCCTGGGCTTCTGGCTCTTCCTCTCACTGGCCTGTCCCCAGCATGACCCGTGTTCCTTCACTCCTGCTGCTTTTGGCTCTGATTTGCAGCAGTCCCTTCCCCAGTTCCGGTATGAACCACTACAAATGCCTTCTACTATTCTGTCCTCTTACTCTGGCCCTGCGATGCTTAGTTGAGAAGAGGCATTTTTTATAAGCCCAACCACCTTAACTGTGTAAATCATTCCAAGCACCAGGTGGCCCCAGGTGGGCCGCTGGTGACAGCATTCTCATCAAACCACTGTGGGCAGTTTAAGTGTTCCATGACCCCACTCCCCAGGGCAGGGCAGAGCTGGGGGTACACTCTACCACCAACAGCCAGAGGGTGGGCACCAGATGACAGGTCCGCAGGGTGGCCTGCTTCACCGCCCCTGAAGGTCATATCCCTGCCTCAAGGCCAAGTAGGCAGCCCAGCATCTCCCAGGTATTCTCTGCCCCACTGGGGCTTGCATGTCTGGTTAGGGCAGCCAGTGCACCCATCTTTCAGCAGAACCATTCCCACTGCATAACTTCCAGTACTGGCAGCCCCCATAACTGCCTATCCACTTCCTCAGTACTGGGGATCACCATCTTGACATCGCAAACTATTCAGTAACTGTCCTGTGCTTGCTACCCAGGGCTGGGATTGCCACGCAGAGGTAACAGCACATTGTGTAGTCAGTGCCCTGCCTGGTCAGAGTGTGCTGGGGCATAGGCCACACTGGGACAGGTCTGACTGTACAACTGGGTTGGAGGCTTTGAGTTCTGCACCTAGGTTTCCTGAGGGCCACAGGCTGAGTCAGCCACTTGGGGAGTCAGCGTGCCACTACAATGGATCCAATGAAGAGCTCTGGACACCAAAGCTTAGGGAGCTCCCCCTCGGGCAGGCCGTGCTCCACACAGTTGCTCACTCACTGACACTGGCAAAGCACACTGTCCTGACACCAGAGAGAGAGGCCAACGAAAGCTCCGTTTCCCACTTTCCCTGCCTTGCACACCTCTCCCTTTGGCCAACATTAACTTGTTCCCTCTCCCTGTGAGGAATTTCATCATGAGCAAATGGTCTTCAGTGAGCCCTGGAGCATTCGTAGTGAATTATCGAGCTCCAGAGGAGCTCGGAGAAATACTGAAACTTGCATGTGGTATCAGGAGCAAGGCCGGCCTTGGGGGCTGGTCCCAAGTTCCTGCTGGCCTTTCACAGTTTGACTTTCCTGAAGGGCAAGCGCCAGCCCATGCCACTCAAGGTGTCCTCACATGTATCATGTATCAAGGGTGTGAGCATTCCCTCAGAACCTAGTGAAATAACCCCCGCAACTAGGGAGTATGAAACAACCCTTGGCATTTTCTCTGCTCCCCTCAGACTAAAGATATGAAATTGAAAATGGGCTGCAGGTCCCACTTACCTGTGACTTGCCCACTGAGCTCTGATGACAAGAGAACTGCATCTCAGCACTGAATACACGAACCCGTAAGTAAACAAGCCATCAGAGAGAACTCTCATCGCCAACACCCAGAGGAGCTGTGACAGAGCAGTCGGATTTCTCTGGAGCCCAAGACCGTTCGTGCTGGAGATGTCCTGGCCTACTGGACACAAGGCAGGCGGCTCCGTCCTGGGTCCCGCCACATCAGGGGACAGGGCCAGAGGATGCACCTAGTGCTGACCCCTGATCTGAGGGGTCAGGATTATTTATTAGAGTTATATAGACAAAAGGATAACTCTATCTCTCTTTTGATATATTGGGTTTTCGGAAAAGTCATGACACATTTTTGCAATGAAAAACAAAAAATAAATCATGACTTTTCCGACAACCCAATACAACCAGGCAGCTTTCGCCCTCTGCTCGTTATCCTTACATAGACAGCATGTGAGTGGGAAAGACGCCCGCCAACATCAGGACCGCCCACCTCTCCCCAGTACCCAGCACCTCTGGGCACTTTTTGGGCTGTCCCCAGGTCTCCAACTGAGAGGGGAAGAATGGGCAGGCCTCCTGGCAGGTGTCTACACACATGCAGCAGGAGGCAGGCAGCTGGGTCTCGGGCCCAGGGAGCCTGGAGAAGCTCTCTGAAGTCACTTGGTGGAGGCGGGAGGTGGGGGCCCATCAGAGAGAAATCCCACCTGCAGAAGCCCCATTGGAGATGGGAGGGACACGAGTAAACCCTCGGTCCTAGGCTCAAGCGCCAGCCCCCAAGTCACAGAAATGCGGGACCAGCAGTACCCAAGTCTGTCCAAAAATGGCCTGCTGACCACAAAGCCATCATTCAGAGTGAACAACAGCCCCAGCCATCCTAAACAACCATGTGTGCCAACATGCTGGGACCCCTCATCCCATCACTGTGCAATGTTTTGCTGCTTGGACTCATCTACACATTGATACTGTCACGACATGACAGGTTTTGCTAAATTCATCTATCAGAAGAACTGCAAGGGAAGGAGAGCCAGGGGCATGGCGAAACTGACAGTGCGGAGAAATGCTCGGGTCAATGAGGGACTAACAATGGAGAAGTCAGCACGGCAGGCGGACACACTGGGAGGCGCAGGGGGACAGAGTCTCAAAGTGAGGTGCATGAGAAGCTAACTGCCCAGGCCCACAAGAAACCAGGAGCTGTTCCTGCACACAGACCTCGAGCTGTGCGTGGTCTATGGGGGACACACACTATCAGGGCCTCGAGCAAGAGTGACAAATTGACCTGCCCCCCACCGTTCCCATCTGAGCCCTTTCCCTTGAGGCTCACCCCAAATTTAACATTAACTCGTGTACCCAATGTTCAGGAGGGGATCTGTGGGTGTGGGTGGAACAGGCCCAAATGGGGCATGTGCCAGGTCTGAACAACCTGGCCGTCCAGCAGCAGTGACGACAACAGCACCCACAGAGACTGCAGGCAGATCTGATGAGACTGGCAGCAACAACAGCTTTATGAAGAGACAGAACAGGACACTTGAGTTACCAACCCGCTCCCCCCTCCCCACTTTCAGGGCTCCAGAGAGGCATTCACAGCCTGGAAACAGGAATACCCAAGAAAAAAGAACATAGACACTGCTAAGGGGACAACCCAAGGTGGCACCTACGGTAAACAGCCCGTCTACACCTAGGCGTAGACCCTCCGGGGTTCTGAAGGAGATGGATGGAAGAGCTGTTGCAGGGGGTGGGGGGTGGGAGGGGGCGCTGGGCCAGGGTGGAGCCAGCTTCCTCTGCCTGGCATCACTGCAGGGAGAGATGGAGAGACAGAGGGTAGGGAGGGAAGGAGAGGGAGCTGCAGTTCTCAAACCCAGGCACCAATACCACACTTCCATCAGCCACAGATGTCTCCCTAAGGCTGAAGCCTCGCTCTCCACCCCACAATCATCACCCCAAACCGCCACCCACCAGGAGCTGATTAGCCAGCATTCCTGGAGCAAAATGACACCTCTCCACCCAGAGGAAAGGATGGGGGCTGCTGCCTCCGGATCAGAGGGTGTGCGAAGAACCCAGACCCTTGAGGTTTAGGCAGAGCCTCAGACACAGGCTGTGAGGACATGAGAGCCAGATGGCCGCCGCCCTCCTTGGGGATCCCTGTGCTCCTGGACCCCACGGCCAGCTCCTCCCTGCAGTGCCAAGGCAGGACAGGGACCCGGTGCTTCAATATTGGGGTACAACTCCCCTCACGAAACGTCCCTCCAATGTGGAGGCCGGGGAATCGCCTGGATCCCTTTTAGCCCCAAAAGGAGGCGGGGCCAGGCCTTAAGCCCTCTCTTGGTAGTTACCCCAGCATCTGGCCCACCGGATGGGGTGGGGGCGTACCTGGAGCAGCATGCTGAGGCCCAGGTTGCGGTGCCTGCGCTCCAGGTCCGACAAGGCCTGCAGCAGGGACCTGAACCTCTCAGCAGGGTCTGCATCTTCATCCTCGGCGGACCCCTCCTCTTTCTCTGCCTCCTGCAGGAAGCGCTCCTCCTCCTCCACAAAGAAAGTCCTCAGCTTCTTGTAGTCAGTCAGGGCCTTCTTTCTGCGGTCCATCACGTGTCCCTGCAGGGTAAGCAGCAGGGAAGGACACCTGTGTCCTTGGACTGGGGACCCCAGGACCCCAGCCCCATGCTGACCACCTTGAGGTTTGCTGCAGAAGGCTCAGCTGCATCCCAAGGCCCTGCCAGATAGAGGCAGGGTATGCATCTCTGTCCCCTCGTACACACGGACCCCAGGCCCACCCCCACTTGCCTTCCAGACAGCAGCAGCAGACTCGGCCTGGCCGTGCAGGTCCCGAGCATCATTCAGATCTTTCCTCATGATCTCCACGGACCCCTTGTTCTCCTGGTAAGAGATGCTGGTTACCAAGTGGTTAGCCACACCTGAAGGTCTGGGACACCATTCTTGTTAGCCTAGTCCAGGGGACACTGCACCCCCGAGTCCACTAACAGTCTGACCAGAAGGCCTCACCAAGTGGTCCTGGCCTACCAGGCTCATGAAAACAGGCTGCAGATACCATGGGGGTCCTAGCAACCTTACTAACTTGCTCCAGGAGGAAGCCTCATAGAAAAACCCACTAAGAATCTAACCAGATAACTGGAAATGAGATTCCTCTGGGGTCCCCAGTGTTAGTCACCAGCACAAAGATGGACAGCGGTATCTGTCAAAAGCACAGCCACCTCATCTTTTCAGGAGGAATGGCACTGGCAATCACTCTGGAAATCCAACATGAACTAGCACAAGGCACCTTTGGGGTGGGCACCGCAACACCCCGGGCCTGCCCAGCACTAGGTGTGCACTGGTCCCACCATGAAACATGAGCCCCCAGCAGGACCGCCCAGCTCCAGTCCGTTGTCTATTTTCTCATTAATAATGCTGAGCCCCCCAATCCACAAGGGCGGGTCCCTGAATCCCCAGTTACTGGGTTTCCACCCAGGGTCAGGTGCCACATGCAATGCAGTTCAAGTACCAGTAGAGAGTAGGTGGAGGGACCCCAGGAGGGCTGTGACGGGATGAGAGGGTAGATGGGGTGAGGGGCGCACACTGGACTACAGAGATGCTAACAGCCTCTATTAGAATCTCGGGATGGGGGGATTCACTCACGGGGGGCGGGGGGAGGAAGGTAAGGCTGCCGCAGGGTGACGTCATACCCGTAGGCGGGACTGTGAGGTGCAGGGGATAAGGCAAGGGAGCGGGACGGGCAGCAGGTCACCTTCTGCCGATGGGGGGAGGGGAAGAACAGTCCAAAGGGAGGATGGGCGTGAGGGGGTGGGGGATCCACAGACACCTTCGACGGGACAGGGCACTGTCCGAGGGTGGGGGGTGTGGGAACCAGGGTGTCTTCGGGAGAATTGGGGGGAGGGGGTTATACGACGCCGTCCACAGGGAAATGAAGAGGCTGAGGGCACCGTCCGGGGGGCGGGGACACGGGTCGCGAAGGGGAAGACAACGCACAGAGCGCCGCCCGCGCGCACCTTGCCGCGCAACGCCTTCCTCCAGCGGGGCTCCCACTCAGGCGGCTCTGGCCCTGCGGCCATGCGGCAGGCGGCGCACAACGGGCCCGCGTCGGCGCGGCACAGCAGTTGCAGCGCCGCCTCCGAAGCCGGGCCGTCACGCGCGGGCGCCGCGGCAGCCTCCTCGAGCGCCAGCAGGCGGCGGCTGAGCGGCGGGCGGCCGGGCTCCACGGCGCGCTGCCAGCAGTCGTCGGCGCACTCGGGGCACGGGAAGGGCCCGTCCTCCTCCGCCCAGAAGCGCACCACGCACGCCCGGCAAAAGCGGTGGCCGCAATCGGCGAACACAGGCTCGCGGGGCGCGCGCTGGCACAGGGCGCAGGCGGCCTCAGCGGGAGCCGCGGGGAGCGCCAGGGCGGCGACTGGGGCCCTCGGGGAGGGCGAGGGCGACAGGCGGAGAGGCCAGAACGCGCAAGCCGGGATGGGGACAGGGATGGAGAGCGTCAACGCTGCGGAGGACGAGGACAAGGATGGCGACCGGGGGCGGACGGCGGGGCGCTGCACGCACGGTCCTGGCAGCGGTGTACTGTACCTGCAGCTCCTGGCAACTGCGCTTCACTCTCCATACCGTGGGCCTCCCACATCGTCGCATCCTGATCTCTTACAGAGATTTATCATTTCCCCCATAAATGACTCGTGGACGAATTTTATTATTTGGAGTTCATTTTTAAGTCTCTTGTAAGCTGTTAGGACCTTAGCTGCAAGCACGGTCTCGCCCCCGCCGCGGCGCAACGCCCACAGAGGTGGGGGCGGGGCTGGAAAACGGCTTCCGTGCCCATCCCGCAAGCAACGTTTCTGCACGCTCCACCCGGCTCCGGCTTCTGGGAGGGACTGTCCCGGCTACCCCCGGAGCGGAGTAATCCATTGACTCAGGGTGAAGGTGTGCTCGGACGCCCAGAGCTGCAGGCCGCAGGGTGTTTGTTAGCATTTCTTCAGCGGGAAAAAAAAAGTTTTGAGGAGCAATTTCTTAATTTGAACACAACCAAACACGCAGTTTTCTTTTTTTTTTTAAAGTCACTGTATTCACCACCACTTAATTTTAAAACTTAAAAAACGAATGCGCTATTTCATGCAAGTGTAAAATCTTCCAAGATACTGCTTTCCGGTTTTGTGGGTTTTTTAAAATCTGGTATAGACTTGGAAATACAGGAAACGGTAGTCTGAAGTGCGATTGGTAAACCGAGGTTAGTTCTCTAGAATAATGGTCAGGAGGAAAGCGCTTTAAGCCCAATTAGCTGAGTTATATAAACTAGGAATTAATACAGAAAAAAGTAAAAGAAAAAAATCAATTGAGGAAAGTCCATGATAATCCTGTGAGTAGGAAATAAATCAGGCAGAATAAAGACAAACAGCCAAACTAGAAAATTCCAGCCACAAATACAGAAGAGTTCAACAAATTTGGTACAGAAAAGTACAATAGAAAACTTTCCCCGTGGGATTTGTTAATTCACCAAGAAAACACAAATGCTGAATAGCCAAAAAACAAACAAAAAACATACTCTGGACCAGTTATTAAGAAATAGGAACATATAATGAGACTCCTTTTTTTCACTATTATGTTGCAACCCCTCCCTCCCCCCAGCTGGGGTGGGGGGACCGGACTTTGCCGATGCTGCTTCTGGGAGGCAATGTGGTAATATTAAGGACCTTCAGATTTTCATTACCTTTGGAATTCCTTTTCTCAAGATACACTATAAAAATAACCCAAAATGGAAGTAAAGCCTTTTGTGGTTTGGTTTGGAGAAATGTTTGTGATATCACTACATGGAAAGGAACAAAAATATTAAAAGTTCCAGTATTAGGGAAGTAGCTCCGCAAATTGAAGTAGCCGTCAGTTTAAAAATGTGCACTTGAGAGTCTGGAAATGAGGAATGGCAAATGTTGTGTAACCATCTCTGATTCTGCTCCCAATTCCAAAGTACGGGAGTTTTTCCCACAAAGAGCAACTCTCCGACACCAGCTGGGTGTCCTATAATTCAATTCAGTTCTGACATTACCTACCTGGAGATGACTTCAGATCCCACAGATTAAGGGCTCAGTCCTATAAGACTGCCCTCCCCCTCCTTCAGAAGATAATGTCAAACCCAGGTGTCACCTGTGCTTCTGACCAACCAGCTATAAAGTGGAGTTTCACCACCCCTCCTTGGGTTCAATTAATTTCCTAGAGTGGCTCACAGAACTCAGGAAACAAGTTTACTTACCAGATCACCAGCTTATTATGAAGGATATGTTTCAGGAAGAGCCAGACTGAAAAGAGCAAGGTATGTGGGATGGGGCCAGAGGCTTCCATGCCCTCTCCAAATGCACCCCTCGCCCTGAATCCCTGTGCATTCACCAACCCAGAAGCTCTCCAAGGTTTTGAGTTTTTATGGAGGCTTCATTACACAGGCACGACTGACAGAAATCGTTGACCACTGGTGATTGATTCAACCTCCAGCTCCTCTCCCCTCCCTGAGGTCACAGGGTTGGAACTGGGGGTTGGACTGAAAGTTCCAACCCTCTAATCACCGGTGGGTTTCCCTGGCAACCAGCCCCAATCCTTACAGGCTTTCCAAAATCACCTCATTAACATAAACAAAGGGGTGGTTGACAGGAGTTTAAATTACGAATATCAGGACAACTTTATACTTCTCATCTCAGGAAATTCCAAGAATTTTAGAAGCTCTGCACCGGGAACAGTGGATGAAGACCAAATACATAGTATTTCTTATTATAAGTCACATCACACCACCCGAAACAGATTCAAAGGAGTCACTTGGCATTTCTCCCTCCACCCTCCCTCTCCCTTCTGAGGTCTCTGCACCCTCCAGGTGAGAAATTTAGCCAGGTGCTATTTGAGAACAAGGGTTGGGTGGAGAGAGGGCAAGGAAGGTGTGCATGCTCCCTCATCTGCCTTTTGAACCACCTAGAAAATTGAAGAACCCACTTTCTGGTCAGAGGCCAAATTGGAGTAGGTGAAGGTCTTGGATTATTGCTCAGTATTACATTTCATAACTGCCTGTGAGACAGTTGGACACCTGCTGGTCTCGGGGGGTCTTGGTGCTTGAATCCCCATTGCGCTGACACCCAAGAACTAGATAAGGGAACATTTCACCTCAAAAAGGGAGAAATCCTATTTTTTCTAGGTTGTGAACCATCTTCCTTTTTCTCAAGATTGTATTTTAAGGGGTTTAGTATAAAATGTTTGGGATTAAATTGGCAGCAATGAAAAAAATCTGAGTATTTTCTATAAGAGTGTGACAAATTAGTTTAAAAAAGGGAGAGGGGCAACAAAAATATAGACCATTAGAACAGAAGTCAAGGATTCTGAAGAGTAGCCGGCCACTCCACCCCAAAATGTACCACTTTGGCAGGAGGATTGTTTTGAGTGGAGGGCAAATGACAATCAATAGATGTGGAAAGACGCCCTTCCAGAGCTTCCCCCACCTGACTAAATGCAGAAACTTCTGCATTTAGAAATGAGAACTGCTGTAAAGCCCCTCTCCCAGGAAGCTTTATGGCCATGACGAAGAGGAAAGTTGGTGCCAAGGTGGACCTGTACTAATGGCCCTGTCTTCCATTAGCTTTCCCCCAAATATTTACCTTCCCATAGCTTGCCACTCTTGTGATACGGGCGAGCCCGCTCACTATAGGAATTTTAAGTTTCCTTTTCCCTAGTTTCATAGCTCATTAGCTCCTGGTCTTAATCACTCTTCTAATCAGTTTCTTTCTTTCTTTCTTTCTTTCTTTCTTTCTTTCTTTCTTTTTTTTTTTTTTTAGCTGAGCCATCCTGCCACCTGTTGGCAGCTCAGCTCAGGCCAGGAATTGAACCAGTGACCCTGTTACTCAGAGCTCGCACTCTTTTTTTTTTTTTAAGATTTTTATTGGGGTATTGGGGGGAAGGGAACAGTGCTGGGGAACTGGGGGAAGGGAAACAGACAAGTTGCTGTTGTTTTGTTCTTCAGTCTAGTTGTGGAGGACGTTGCTTCACTGGCCTAAGTTGGCACCATCATTGCGCTCTTCCTGGGCGAGGCAGGTCACCGGCTTCTGGACGGCCACTCACTGCGGCTGCTGGCCGCTCACGCTGACTGCTGGCTACACACGGTAGCCCATGGCAACCCACTGCCACAGGGGCTGCAGCCTACGCCGTCTCCGGCGACTCATGTCAACCCAGCTCCAGGTCGAGCTGTTGTTCAGCATCTTAGCTGTGGAGGACAGTGTCAGTGGCCCTCATATGTGGGATCCAAACCGGGGCCCTCTGGCGTCCCAAGCCAGTTCTTAACCATCACGCCACTCGGCCGGCCCAGAGCTCGCACTCTTGAGAGAGCTCTTAACCAACTGAGCCACTCGGCCAGCCCTCTAATCAGTTTCTTAATCCTAAACTAAAGATTGCTCCTAGTCTGAATCACAGAATGTCTCTCACCCCTTCTTCACCCCTTAAGCCTATGACAAGCTTCTTAACTGTAATCATTGTAGCCCAACACTCCTCCAGGCCAGTCCTTCCTAAACCCTGGGTGGAATCAGGTAAATGGACTTCAAAGTCTTGTTCCTGGAGCCAGCACTTCTAATTTATTAACATCTGTCTCTCCTCATCTAGAGTTATGTCCCAGAGAGGCTTCTAGTGCACCCTGACCAAGGCAGATATGATACTCCCTCTTTTTATTTAAGATCAGATAGGGTGAGACTTTTGTGAGTCCCCATTATGTAGGGACAGCTCTACCCCCTTCTCAACCTGAAGCAAATACAGAAAAGACTCCCATCCCTCAATTCCCCACAGAGATTAATGGGGATCATGTCTCTCAGGGAAAATAAGTCAGGCAGTTAGAGACAGACAATTGGGTATCCGCATTCCTGCACATCCAACACAATCTATGGGGAGCACTGCCTGGAGACCTCCCAAATTCTTCCCTTACCTGCCCTAACCATTAATCACATGAGGACACTAAAAGACAATACATTAGACTGCTCCTGTGCAGTAGAGGCTACAATAACCTCCATCTCACCCTAGCCTCATTATACCATTTTCTTTTTTTTTAGATTTTATTGGGGAATTGGGGGAGGGGAACAGCGTTGGAGAATCGGGTAAGGGGAACAGACAGGTAGACAAATTGCTGTTTTGTTCTTCAGTCTAGTTGTGGAGGACGTGGCTTCACTGGCCCATGTTGGTATGATCATTGCGCTCTTCCTGGGTGAGGCAATCGGTCACCGGTCATTTGTCGGCTGCTCACGGCGGCTCATGGCAGCTCTTGCCCGCTGCCGGCCATTCACACTGGCTGCCAGCCACTCATGTAGCTCATGGCAGCCCACTGCAGCAGGGGCTGCAGCCTACACCATCGCCGACGATTCACAGCAGCCCAGCTCCAGGTTAAGCTGTTGTTCATCATCTTAGCTGTAGAGGGCGCAGCGTCACTGGCCCTCAATGTGGGATCCGAACCACGGCCCTGCTGCTCAGAGCTGGTGCTCCAATCGAGCTCTTAACCAGCTGAGCCACTCGGCTGGCCCGATACCATTATTATATATAGTATTAATATCATACACATGCTCAGAAGTTCATTAATATCATTATAACAGGCTGAACTCTGGGAGGGAACATTCACAGTCTAAGAAAATGAGGTAATAGCCCTTATCAATAACAGGTCTCAATCAAGTGGTCCTGTGCTGGGAGAAAACAACCCATCCTAGGGAAAAAAAGATAAAACTCCCAGGATTCCGCAAGCCACCACCTTTGATCTTTTGAGCCTTTGAGCCTTAGCACTGTCCTCGAGCCACTTTTCTTTGTGTTCAGTCCTGCTCCTAATTCTTTGGAGTATACTATCTCTTTTAATAAACTGCTTTTTCACCACTTTACCTCTGTGTCTCATTCAATTCTTTGCTCAAGATGCCAAAAACATGGACAACGTGCCAAGGAGGGCCCACCTCCAGTAACATAGCAGGTAGGAGTCCCAGTTTTCCTCCCCAAGGCCCAAGTTCAACCCCTGGTATGTGAACCTAGCCTGGACTACACCAAGTTCAACCCCCGGTGGATTTTCAGTATTGATATTATCATGGGTTTTATTAACCTCAGGCAAAGTTAATTTGCCTATGATTTTAGTATTACACCATATTCCCATAACATTTACTGTAAACCTGGTGTCATTACAATAAAAATCAGTATGACAGAAGAATTTTCTAACCTTTTCCAATAAAAAAGTCCTCTTCCCATATACTATATATTGTTTGTTGAGGTGGATACAATAGGCCAGGACTGGGTGAATTCAGAATTCCATATAGATTGGGGACATAACCATTTACCTTTTTTGATTTAGCATGGCCTTACTATTGGGTTGTCTGAAAAGTCATGACATATTTTTTCTGTTTTTCATTGCAAAAATGCATCATGACTTTTCTGAAAACCCAATAGTTTACATTGGAAGCACTCAAGTGTCATTCATTAATCTGATTTCTGTAAGTTGTATAACTGGGAACTGTAACTTTAAGGTTTAATAGGGGCCAAAGCTGTAAGAACATAATGGTGTAAATTACAATTACTACTTAAAATTTTCTAGAGGCCAGGACAATAAGAGTTCTATAAATACATTTTTGTGTGT